AAATAAATAAATAAATAAATAAATAAATAAATAAATAAATAAATAAAATAAACTCTAGTTGTATCTATGGAATGTGGACTTTAGTAATAAGGAATACCCCTAGATTAGAAGATCCAGATAGATGGTGGATGGGGTATAGAGATGGAGTGTAGGTCTTACCTTGGTATCTTCAGGGATATGGATGTCTTAACTTTGTACACATCAAGGATACAACATTATTTTTCCAAAACTTACATGTTTATTTTTCTTTCAAGAAATACAATCAAAGCTTTCTTAACTTGGAAGAATTCCCATCACATCCATACATCTGTTGAAAAGTAATAGTAATGACAAAAAATTGCTGTGGGGCAGGGCACCTGGGTGGCTCGGTGGTTGGGTAACCGACTTCGGCTCAGGTCATGATCTCACAATTCGTGAGTTCGAGCCCCGCATCGGGCTCTGTGCTGACAGCTCAGAGCCTGGAGCCTGCTTCAGATTCTGTGTCTCCCTCTCTGTGTCTGCCTCTCCCCCACTCGCACTCTGTCTCTCAAAAATGAATAAACGTTAAAAAACTTAAAAAAAAAAAATTGCTGTGGGGCACCTGGGTAGCTCCGTTGGTTAAGCATTTGACTCTTGATTTTGGCTCAGGTCATGAACTTGGGGTTCATGAGTTTGAGCCCCACGTCCAACTATGTGGTTACAGTGTGGAGCCTGCTTGGGATTCTCTCTCCCTTTCTCTCTGCCCCTCCCTCACATGTTCACTTCTGCTCTCTTTCTCTTCTGTCTCCTCCCATCAAAATAAATAAACTTAAAAAAAATCCTAAATGACAAAAAAACCCCACAATTGCTATGTAGAATAATAGTAAATGTAATTTTTATGCAGTTATATAAAGGATCATGGTTTTGTTTTATTCTCTTTGTTAAAATAAAATCAGATATATTTCAAGGATTTTTTTCCTTCACTGATATTAATCATTAATCCAGACAGAGATTTAACCTAAAATGTAAAATAAGTTATTTGAATTTATGTACTAAGAAAAAAAATCATTCAGTATTAATTTATGCTGCATATTAACTAATGCCTTTTATAGTTTTCTAATTAAAGGTCTTTTTAAATGAACACTGTCACTTTTTTAAAGAAAGTAACTTTTATTCTCTTTCCTATTACAAAAGAAATGCATGTTTATTGTAAAAATTTTAGAAAATACAATTAGCACAAAAAAAACTAAAATTGTTACTAATCCAATCACTTATTTATATTTTAGTGTATATACTTTTAGTTAATAGATTTTTTTTTTTTTAATTAATAGGTTCATTTGAGACTGAACCTGGCCCTTATGATAAAGCCCTTTAGGGAAAACATGCTTTTATCATGGCATTTAGACACATGAAAGAAAGAACAAATTCTCTAACTTTACTGTTAGTTTTTATGTCAGTGTTTAGTGGTCAGTGCAGTCTGCTTAAGGTCTTTTATACTTAAAGCATTTATTTCTTATTTTCTCCAACTCAAACATAGAGCTAAAAAAACATTTTTCTTTGGGCAGTGTTTGCCCTAAGCGGGCAAGTATATCTTCATAAAGACTGGACCATTTTGGAGTTAGAAGGGAGAAACCCCTAAATCTGGGCCTGGTGTCAAGCAGCCTATGGTTCTGGCCAGGTTACTCGTTTTGTTTCCAACTAGGTCAGTGGTTCTCAAAGTTTGCTTCCTAGATTAGCAGTGTCTACATTAGATGAGAGCTTATTAGAAATGTAAATTCTAAGGCCCCACTGAGATATTTTTTCTACTTTTTTTTTTGCCATATATATATATATATATATGTATATATGTATATGTATATATTGTATATGTTATATATATTTTTTAGTTTACATCCCAGTTAGCACATAGTGCAATAATGATTTCAGGAGTAGATTCCTTTGATTCATCCCCTATGTATAACACTCAGTGCTCATCCCAAGTGCCCTCCTTAATGCCCTTTACCCATTTAGCCCATCCCTGCACCCACAGCCCCCCCGGCAACCCTCAGTTTGTTGTCTATATTTAAGAATCTCTTATGTTTTGTCCCCCTCCCTGTTTTTATATTATTTTTGCTTCCCTTCCCTTATATTCATCTGTTTTATATCTTAAATTCCACATATGAGTGAAGTCATATGATATTTATCTTTGTCTAACTAATTTCGCTTAGCATAATATCCTCTAGTTCCATCCATGTAGCTGAAAATGGCAAGATTTGATTCTTTTTGCTGAGTAATACTCAATTGTATATATATACCACACCTTTATCCATTCATCTGTCAATGGACATTTGAGGCCCCATTGAGATCTTAATGAATCAGAAGCTCTGGGGTGGCGCAGGGCCTTCCGAGTTTTTAATAATTCCTCTGGATGGTTCTGAAACACATTCAAGTTTGAGAACCACTAGTGGTGCTAAGGTTTGCTTCTGGCCCTGCGCATTCTCTTAAAATGAACCTATGTTCTTTTCTTTATTCTCCTGGATGCCTCCAAAGTTCTGCCTAACGTGTAGGTACAGCATGGGCAGTGATCTTTCTTTTTGTTCATTGATGTATCTCAGGCACCTAGAATAGCGTCTACCATGCCAGAAAGCCCTCAAACGTAACTGTTGAATGAACAAGTGAATTTAGAACTACTTGCTTGGGAGAACTGGGGCTTCTGCCTTGGCTTTTCTTTGTAGACAGGAGCTGGCTGATGTACACCTCCCTCTTTTCTGAATATCATTAAAGTTGATATTTGTTTTGTCCCAAGAGGCTTAGGAATCATGTTGACAGTGTGACTTTATTTCAATTGTGATTTTCTTTGGAGACATCTGGAAAGTAGGGATATTGTATTAGGTGACTTCTAAGACCTTTCCACTCTGTATCTGTGTATCTGTCAGCTTTTGTGTACAGAAAGAAAAATTTCAAATAGCTTATATCTGAAAAACAATAGGAAAAAAAGTAACAAAACTGATTTTTAATTTGGAGGAATGGGGACAAGTCTATGGATTTTCTGTAGCGCATTAATAAGGGGTTGTTTTAGGCATATATCCGCAATTGGAATGATCAGGGGCCATGATTACTGAGGAATGTAGAGATTATTTTTCTCTGGGGAGACTTTTCTGTAGTGCAAGTCAGAACAAATGGAAAGGGCAACTTACTTATTTAAAACACAGATAAAGGAGATTAGTTTTGGCTAGTTGTCAAACCAAGAACCATGATGGGATTTTGTATTTTATGAAGCATATTTATTCATTCAAAAAATAGTTAGTTATTGAGTACGAATTGTGTACTGGGTAATATTACCCTGGATACAAGATGGACAAAGATAGTTCTGCTTTCAAAGACCTACATCTGATTCAGGAGCTGGGCATCAAGCCAAGTCTACAATTAAAATAATTGCAAATGTGATAAGCAGTTACTTTTTTGTCTATTTAAGAAATTAGATAGATGTACCTAAACTGTACCTTAAATGGATTGTGATAACCAAGTGCCCTCTTGCATTATAATTTTTATTTTCCCTTTAAGAACTTAGATAAGAATCGGGGATTTAGGGAGCTCATTTT